CTTCATAAATTATATTCAGGAGTTTTCCATTCTTTTCTATATTTTGGAAGTTTGAGTAGAATTGGTGTCCACTCTTTTCTGTATGGACTTCTGGTGTGGCACTGTAAGATCAGTATTGGACTGTGAACCCCAAGGTCAGAAGTTCAAACACACCAGCTGGTCCTCAGAAACCCTATACAGGGTCGCTGTGAGTAGGAACTGACTGGACAGCACTTAACAACATCAGCTTCTCTGTATGTATGTTAGAATTCACCAGTAAAGCCATCTGGTCTGGAACTTCTCTTTTTTGAGAGTTTTTTTAAAAAATGATTAATTTATTCTTTTGTTAGGAGTCTGTTCAAGTTTTCTATATCATTTTGCATTTGTTTTGGTAGGTTGTGGTTTTCTAAAAAAAATATTCATTTCTTCTAGATTTTCAAATTTTTTGGAGTACAGTTCTTTATAGTATTTTATTATTATTCCTTTATTTCCATGGGTTCTGTTGTTACATCTATCATTTTACTTCTTATGCATGTTATTTGTATCTTCATTTCTTTTGTTAGATTTGCCAATGATTTTTCAATTTTTTTTTAATCCTTTCAAATAACCAACTACTTGTCCTGTTGGTTCTTTTTTGTTTTGTTTTTCTGTTTTCTATTACATTTATTACTGCTTGAGTATTTATTATTGCTTATCTACTGGTGGCTGTTGGCTTACTTTGATGCTCTTTTTCTAATTGTTGGAATCCATTTCACTTTTGATAACTTCCCATTTCCTAGATACGTACTTTGTGCATTCCATATTCTGATTATTAATGGATGTTTGCAGCTGTTTCTCTTCAATTAGAATTGTGCTCCATCAGCAAATAAAGGTCCTGAAAGCTTTACTCCATTCCCATCATAATGGGCAACTCTACTTTGAGGAGGCACCTTGTCCTATCCGTACTTTGAACGCGTTTCAACCTGAGGGGCTCATCTTTTGGTACTATATTTGACAACATTCTACTGCTCTTCATAATGCTTTCATCTTTTGGTAATGTATCTGACAATGTCCTGTTGCTATTCATAGTTTTTTAGTGGTTGATCATTCAGAAATAGTCTGTTTATCCTTTTTCTTAATATTTCTATGTCTGGAAACTGCTGAAACCTGTGCACCATGGATGATCCTGTGGGGATTTAAAATACTGGTGGTACAGCTTCCAGCATCACAGCAATATTCAAGCCACCACAATAGGACAAAATGACAGACTAGTGTTTAACTACAGGGATGTTGTTGTTGTTGTTGTTATGTGCTGTGGAGTTTGTTCCGACTCAGAGCGACCCTGTACAGGGTTTCCAAGGCTGTAAATCTTTACGAGAGCAGAAAGCCTCATCTTTCTTCCACGGGACAGCTGGTAGTTTTGAACTGTTGACCCTGAGGTTAACAGCCTGATTCGTAACAACTATGCTACCAGAGCTCCTTAACCACAGGGATACTTTTGTTAAAAATATTATTTCTGCTGAACCACTGCAGACAACTTTTATAGACAGTCATTTTGATGTCTTCCCCTCTGACAATGTCACTCAATGATGTTATATTATATCATATCATCATATATTATATTATATCATATCATACTAAAAGCTTGGCATTCAGTGGTCTCACTAGAGCCATCTCCAGTGAGATCACTGAATGCCAAGCTTTTAGTATGATATAATGTGAGACTCCTGGTGTGGCGCTGTGGGATCAGCACTGAACTGTGAACCATAAGGTCAGCATTTCAAATCCATCAGCTGCTCCTTGGAAACCTATACAGAGTTGCTATGAGTCGGAACTGACTTGACAGCACTTAACAACAAGTGTGAGACTAGGGGTGTCAATGGTCTTGTGGGACTGGGCTGCAACAGAGAACTGCTGTGTTTGGAGGCAGCGGGGACCTGGATCAGGCAGTGTTGGGAGAGGCAGTGTGCCAGGTGCCTTGACTCCTTGTACATTCCTTCTCGCTGTGCCAGAATGCAAGGCCCTAACCACTCTTTGTCTCGACCATTTCTCACAGTTTTGTTTCAGTAAGCAGTATCAAGGGATGAGATCAGGTCTCACCCCACAAACAAAAAGAAAGCTTGGTAAGTGCTCTGAGTAAAATGTCCCTCACCTGCAACAAACTTCTACTACATGTCTGGTGTTCACCTGGGTCCCTGTGTTCAGCCCACTTGGGACTTGGTGGGTCATAATAAAGTCCTTTTCTCAGTACCTTTTTTTCTTGAAATAATTAGCAGCTAGATTTGGAGGTGTTCTGCATTGGCTGTATTGAATGGATCGACCTACCCAGGAGTTCCATGTTATATGCCAGCATTCATTAAACTATGGTAAGCTAACTTATTACCTTACAAATATGACCAAATCTCAAATCTGACAAAGTGGGGTTTCTAGATAGCGTGCTCTTCTGCCCCAGCCTTCAGGCTCTAAAGAGAATGTCACGATTTCTGCTGGTTCAGAAGATCTTCTTGAATGCGCCTTGTTGCCTTGTGGTGATGAACTACCCACCCCTTACCTTATAGCCATCTGACTAGTTCCTGTGGCTGCTGAGTGATTGCTCACCCCCCAGAAGCCCATATTCTGATTATTAAAGACCAAATTCAGGCCAGGTCACTTCCAAATGATAGAACTCTCTCTAGAGGTTATCCATTTCTCTCTGCAGCCATCTCTAGATATGTCCGCTTGAAAGGCCTCGTCTGCTTGAGTACCAATGCCATCAGTCTGCCTCTTGATCTCTCAGACTGCTAAGCAAGAAAGACCATTCTAAGCAAGAACAAACAAGCTTAGGATCCGATCAAGAAGTCTTGGCCTGTGCATTCTAAGAAATTTTACTCATTCAAGCCTTCAACATATCTATTGTTGAATATCTCCAAAGTTAATTGCTGATTATTTCAAGAACACAAAAAAAGGATAAGACACAGTCACTGGGCACATTGCAAGCAAGAGGATCTGGAGTCAGATAATTAGGTTTGGGACCATACATTGTCAACATTTGTGAACTCTGGCAAGTTTTTTAACCTCTTTGAAAATCAATCTTTCTCAACTGTAAAATGGAGTCTGTAATAAATACATCAGGGTTGTTGCAATGACTGGAGTAGTATCTAGCATGTTTCTAGTCACAGAGTTGCCTCCACTTAAACATTTAAATTTCCACCGAATTAAAAATCCATAGTTGCGCTTTCTTTCTGCTTGTGGACAGCGCAGAAGAAGCATTGTCTCCCCCCTATTGCTGTCATGTCTAAGTCAGAGTCTCCTAAAGAGCCAGAACAGCTGCGGAACCTCTTCATCGGAGGTTTGAGCTTTGAAACAACAGATGAGAGCCTGAGGAGCCATTTTGAGCAATGGGGGACGCTCAACGGACTATGTGGTGATGAGAGATCCAAACACCAAGCGCTCCAGAGGCTTTGGGTTTGTCCCTCACTCTACTGTGGAGGAGGTGGATGCAGCCATGAATGCAAGGCCACACAAGGTAGATGGAAGAGTGGTGGAACCAAAGAGGGCCGTTTCAAGAGAAGACTCTCAAAGACCAGGTGCCCACTTAACTGAAAAAGATTTTTGTTGGTGGCATTAAGGAAGACACCGAAGAGCATCACCTAAGAGATTATTTTGAGCAGTGTGGAAAGATTGAAGTGGTTGAAATCATGACAGACCAAGGCAGTGGCAATAAGAGGGGCTTTGCATTTGTAACCTTTGATGACCATGACTCTGTAGCTAAGATTGTTATCCAGAAGTACCATACTGTGAATGGCCACAACTGTGAAGTAAGGAAAGCCCTGTCAAAGCAAGAGATGGCCAGTGCCTCCTCCAGTCAAAGAGGTCGAAGTGGTTCTGGAAACTTTGGTGGTGGCCTTGGAGGTGGTTTTGGTGGGAATGACAACTTTGGTTGTGGAGGAAACTTCAGTGGACGAGGTGGCTTTGGTGGCAGCCGTGGTGGTGGTGGATATGGACGCAGTGGGGATAGTTATAATGGATTTGGTAATGACGGAAGCAATTTTGGAGGTGGTGGAAGCTATAATGATTTTGGCAATTACAATAATCAGTCTTCAAATTTTGGACCCATGAAGGGAGGAAATTTTGGAGGCAGAAGCTCTGGCCCTTATGGTGGTAGAGGTCAATATTTCGCCAAACCACGAAACCAAAGGGACTATGGTGGTTCAAGCAGCAGCAGTAGCTATGGGAGTGGCAGAAGGTTTTAATGATTGCCAGGAAACAAAGCTTAGCAGGAGAGGAGAGCCAGAGAAGTGACAGGGAAGCTACAGGTTACAACAGATTTGTGAACTCAACCAAGCACAGTGGTGGTAGGGCCTAGCTGCTACAAAGAAGACATGTTTTAGACAATACTCATGTGTATGGGAAAAAAACAAACAAACAACAACAAAAAAAAACCTCGAGGACTGTATTTGTGACTAATTGTATAACAGGTTATTTTAGTTTCTGTTCTGTAGAAAGTATAAAGCATTCCAACAAAGGGTTTTAATGTAGATTTTTTTTTCCACACCCATGCTGTTGATTGCTAAATGTAATAGTCTGATCATGATGCTGAATAAATGTCTTTTAAAAAAATCCATAGTTGCAGAATGTGGAACAGAGGAGGAAGGAAGGGAAGTTAAGACCCTGACTCAGATTAAAGAAATAATAGAAGAGTGAAGGACCCCAGATGAGACCCTTGGGAGGCAGACCTCAACACTCTATAATTATTTGGGTGGCTCACAGAATATAGATAAAGCATCTAGTGACAGCCTTAAGATGATTTTTAAATTTATTGTTTTAATTACCATATTACACGTTGTTGATAGTATTGCAACATTGCTCACAAAGCCTAGGTCATGGGTATAATAGTTTGAATGTTTTATATGAGGGTCACTGTTTCTTGGCCTTAGTTGACACCTCTCAGTTTGGCATTTTAAGGCAAAGATGGAGATAAAGCATGGCACTGGGTATTTTGTATTTTCCTGGTGGGCTAGGGTGATTGGGATAACTCTAATTCCTGGATATTCTGAAGTTAGCTATAGCTCACTTTTGGAGTGGTGCTTTTTCTGGTCTCTAGGGCTCTTAGTCAAGCCCCAGCCCAAGCCCACAGCCTCTTGAATGCTCAGTGCAGCCCTGATCCCTGATTTAATGGCTGTGTCAATCCAGCCATGGGGCAGGGTTGTGTGCTCACCAGCAAAATATACCGGCCCTTCTGGTCGGCAGAGTTCTTTAGCATAGTCCACGTACTGGTAGGGTGTGAAGGAGACAAAGGCTCCCATGGAATAGGGGTCCTGGTTCCACTGCTTGACTTTGGAGTAGGGACATAGAGCCCTGATCTCCTCCTTGGAGCGGTCATGGACTGCGGCTAGGTCATTGAGGACAACTTCCACTACCCGGGCATGATTCAAGGCAGTAAAGAACGAGGAGTCATCATGCAGGGTATAGGATGCTAGGATGACTCCTGTGCCATTGGAGAAGACGTGGTTGGGATAATATATGAAGCGGGAAGGCCGGTCAGTGATGGACTTACATCCAAAGATGCCATCCTCCTCCCAGAAACGCTGTGTGCAGGCCAAGATCACTTTGGTGGCACTGTTGTAGTGGACAGAACGCAGTGCATCTTCCTTTTCACGGGAGAGGGGTGGTTGAAAATGGAGGAGCCGGGCAGCCTTGGCTGTGGTGGCCACAATCACGTAATCTGCAGTCAGACGCTCTCTGGGTCTCAGAGGGTCAGATGTCTGGTAGGTGACATGGACGAGGCCACCAGAAGTCTCCACTTCCTCTGCTGGTGAGTGGAGCTGCACCGTTCCAGGCAAGAGGGCATCGTGCAGGGCCCTGGGGAGTTGGTCAAAGCCCCCAACAATTTCATCAAACCTGAAAATGAGCAGGCAGAGGAGGTTGAGGGAAACTGTCTATGGATAAGACCAGGCCATTTGAACTGGATGAAAGTCTAGTTCTCTATTGGAATTGCTCTGGCTCTGTGTTTTAGATAGGCAAAGCAGTTGGCAGTAGGCTTTACCAGGCAAAGTGACCATTAGGTACAGTGAACTATAAAAAGGTAATCCTCTGGGCTGACAAATCAGAAAAAAGCATCTCTTCCAGGAGTCCCTAGACAGTGCAAATAGACACACTCAGCTGCTAATAGACAGGTTGTAGGTTTGAGTTCACCTGGAGGTGCCTTGGAATAGAGGCCTGGCAATCTACTTCCAAAAAACCAGTAATTGACAATAATAGGGGGTACAGTTCTACTCTAATACGTATTCTTTCTGTGAGTTGGAATCAACTCCAGAGCAACTGATATGCTCTTTTTTTTTTTTTTTTTCTGTATGGGTGCACATTGTAATACACTTGACAACTACTTAAAAATTTGATTTGAACCCACCCAGAAGTTCCTTGAAAGAGGCTTACTGATCTGCCTTTCAAAGGTAATAGCCTTGAAAACCCTATGCAACCCAGTTCTGTGCACATGAGTCAAAATTGACTCAGTTGCAACTAACAACAATGCATGCCCTTGCTAGAGAATGCAAGGTTGGAGAGTAGGCTGTCCTCCATGCAGTGCCTATGGATGTCAACTCCTGGGGCAGGCAAATACCATAGGCTGTGATAGAACCTTTAACCCTTTTACATAGTGTTCTGGGGCAGAGCCTGATAGCATAGGTACAACCTTTTTTTTAAAATTTTTAATTAAGACTGCCCACTTGTCCATTTTGGGATTGTTCCTTTCTTTCATTCTCTTTTCAATGTTGTTCTTGGTTTGTATTTACACTGGTTTACCTGGTGTGGCGCTGTGGGCTAATTGTTCTGCATTGCAACGTTGGTTTGAACTGTAAGGTTGTTGGTTCAATCTCACCAGCTGCTCCTTAGAAACCCTATGCAGGATCTCTATGGGTTAGAACAAACTCACTGGCACTTAAAAACAATACCAACAACCCTGAATAAGGTGTATGAGTGGTGCAAACAGTTAAGGAGTATATCTGAAAGGTTGATGCCTTCTGTCCACTCAGAGGTACCTCAGAAGAAAGACTTGGCAATCTACTTCTGAACAAAATCATCACTGAAAACCCTGTGGAGCATACTTCTATTCTGACACATGTAGGGTCACCATAAATTAGAGTCAACTCTACAGCAACTTGTTTTACCATGAATAAAAATGCTGGATGGAAGCTGGGGTGGATATTATAGGAGAACAAAAGGATCAAACAAATAACTATATGAATCAATTTCTCAGTCTGTCAGAGTTAGCAACCTCAGTTTGCCTTCTAAATGTAGCCTCTTCGAGTTGTTTTTATGAATGCCAAGTATGGGGATTATTCCAATGTGTTGGTTCTTCGTAGCTCCAGAACATGTGGCCCACGGTCAGTGGTTTGGTAGCTGGGGATCCAGTGTGAGTGCCTATGGTACATCTTTCTGCGCTGAAGACAGCAAGGTCCCTTCAAAAGTACCTAGAGCAGAGTTGCAGCCATAGTTTATGTAACAGGACAACAGGTGGGATCCATAGCTAAGAATATCTGCAGTTTCATGACAGGATAGCCAAGGGTGCTCAAAGTGGGATTTCCAGACCACCAGCAGCTGCAGCCCTCAGGAAATATTAGGAATGTGAATTCTGAGGTTCCAGCCTGAGAATTAAAACCATAAACCCTGGGGTGATTCTGATACACACTGGTGTTTGAATATCTCTTCTTCTAGTGCCCCCACTTCTTTTGGAAACATCATCTGATTTTATCTAGTCCTATCACTGCTCTGGTTAGTAACTGACCAAACCATGCCCATTCTTACTCCCACCACCCATTCCCACATTCCCACCGGGGCTCCTGGTTGAAGGAGATGACAGTTTGCAGAGTCTCTGTAAAGGCCTCATAGTAGCCAGCGTCTGCATTCAGCAGGTCCCCAATCATCTGCACAGCCCCACGGCTCAGGTTGCCCACTTTTATCAGGTACTCCTGTGATGTGTACAAGGAGAGAAGGCAAGTCAGAATGCTTGGATGGGGAGGGGGCGACGTGTGACCCTTTGCTCCCAGCTCAGAGGCAGTGAGGGGTTGAAACGGACAGGACAGAATGGCAGAGCACAGATGTACACTCAGGGGGCTGCTGAGGGTCTGCTTGGCACACAGAGCTCTGAAGATGGCGCTCAGAATGTGCTCCTCAGTCCTGATAACAAGGACAACAGCTAACACTTAGTGCCATTCCCCACCTACAGATTCTATTCAGAACCCTTTACACAGGGTCACCTGTATAATTCTTACATGCAGTCCTAAAAAGTAGTTTTTTTACACTCATTTTGCAGTTAGGGAAACTGAAGTGCAATCTTCATGTGCTCGTACAAACATGTTGTGTCTATCTATGACCTGTCCTGTGAGAGCTGTACCCTCATGCCAAGCCAGGAGGAATCTGGGTACTGAATATTCCCTACCATCCACCCTCAGTACTGCTGTCTTTATCAGTTTACACCAATTGACTGAGATTCTGCTTCCCATATATCCACCCAGACTTCCCTGCCTCTGCCCTACTCTCAAACAAGGCTAGTGTGGACATGACAAAGCTAGTTGGTTAGGTTTTCCATTCTTGCTTGTACAGGATTGAGGGGTAGAAGGAAAGCTCTGGATAAACTGAGTGGAGTTTATCCCTTTTCACCAAGGTAGACAGCTTTGGGGGCTGGGCAATCAGGATACATCCATAGGAAGGGTGCTCTGGCTCTAGCTTGGGCTAAACCCTTTGATTCAACATGCTTCTTTAAACAAGAAGATAAAACCATAGGGCCCCACCATTCAGGAAGAGCAACAACAATAAAGAGGGATTTGGAGAGACACTGAATTAGAAGACCTGCAGTCTGGACAACCAGAGAACAGAGAAAGTCAGTTGGATGCATACTTCAGTGAGAGGAGAGGGTGTGCAAATTGAGGAAATGGGTAGAAGTATTTTCTATAGTTCCCTGTGCTCACCAGTACATTTATCTTTTCTCCTATCTTTTCCTCCTTCCTTTTCTTCTGGTACACGGAATATTCATACAACAATCAGACCATATATAGAAACAGAATTTGGGTCCATAATCTGTAGCAACTAGTCCTGGAAACCAAACCACAACCTCTTTAGCAATCCATCAAAAATGGCCAAGAGTTTGTCAATAACTGCCAGCTTCCTATTCCCTCTCCCCACATTTCCAATTTAAGACCAAGCAGAGGAATCCAAATGCTCTTTACCTTTACTTTTTCCTACTGCTGTATTAAGCTTTCCCACTCTCCTTCCTGCCTTTGTGATCCTGCAAAATGTAAGTAATAGTGGCTGACTCCCTTGCTGCACAAGCTCCAGTTTGTTCTCATTTGGGTGGTCCTTGCTGATTTTCTTTCTTCTTTCTTTCCATCGTCTCTCCCTACCTCTTCCTTCCTTACCTCAATCCCTTCCTTCTTTCTTCCTTCCTTCCTCACCTCCATTCCGTGGTCCATTCTTCCTTTCTTTCCCTCATTTTTCTTCCTCCCTCCCTCTTTCCTTCTACAGTATTTATTGAGCATCTTCTGTGTGTCAGGTACTGTGCTAGACATAGGACATTTGGACAGATAAAACAGTTCCTGTCCTCATAGAATTAACATTTTAGCAGGGGAGATAGAAAAGAAACAAACAAGTAAAATATTAAGTGTGATTCATGTTGTATAGGAATATAAAACATGGAAAGAAAGCTAAGAAGGGACTTCCATAATGGAAAGATGGAAGTCTCAATTCAAAGGGGCATCTGAGTAAAGACCTGAAGAACAGAGGGGAAGAGCCTTCCAACCAGAGGGAACAGTCTTAAGGCTAGATTAGACATGATGGGGTTAAGAAACAGCAAAGAAGCCAGTGTGTCTGGTATAGGTGAACAGAAGCATGGGGTCATGGTTCTTACTCTCAAGGTACCCTGAGCTGGGAGGGTTTAGAACAGAGATGGGTGGCTTCCTTTCTCTGACTGTGGGCTGGGGAATAGTTTCCATGCTAGGAACAATAAGTATAAGGCTGAACATCCCTCTTTCCTGCTACAAGTCTGGGACTATGGCTGTTGGTACCACTGTAACTTCTAGGGACCCGTGAAAGACTGGGACATGGGCAGCAGAAAGCTGAGGTCCCAGGGAACAGACCTTGGTGGAGAAGGAGTCATATTTCTCCAGCACCTTGCTGCAGCTACTTGTCTTCAGTTCCTCCACCACCTGAGCACAGGAAAACAGAGAAGGTGATACACTCAGAGACACTTCCACCAGAACTCAAACTCTTCAAAATGTATAATCCGTACTCATTGACCTATTTAGCCCCTCAAGGCGCTATGCTCTCATTTATTTGCTTCAAATTGTGTATGTGCTTGAGGCTTGCTTTGCAAACTCTCTGTATTCTAGTACTGAAAGTGTTTTGATGGCAGAAACTTCTCCTCCACTAGTGAATGAAATACTGTGAGGCATGCTAGGCTGCAGCTCCAACCCCAGACTGGAAGTTCTAGGAGCAGGGAAGTCTGCCTTCTTGTTCTTGGAATGAGTAAATTGCTAGAGACCTAACATGTCCATTGATGTCCCTGAGTGTAACAAATGGTTAAGCTAGACTACTAGCTGAAAGGTTGATGGTTTGCACTTACCCAAAAGTGTCTTGCAAGTAAGACCTGGTGGTCTGCTTCCAAAAGGCCACAGCCTTGTGAACCCAACTGAGTGCAGTTGTACTCTGCACACATGGAATTGTCATGAATTGGAATTGACTTGACAGCAATTAACAACAGGCTATGGTGAATGCATTGTTTGGGGACAGAAGCTTGGTCTCACTGAATTGTGATGAAGTCTGAGGCCGAAGGGTCTAGCTCTTGGCTGGATAGCACTTCCCGGTGAGCACAGGACACTTGGGCAGGAGTTTCTGTTCCAAAGAACCTGGCTGTCATTATGGTCCCCATGGGTAAGGAGTCAGAAAGAATGAAGGTAATTTCAAAGTTTAGTAAATATCTGCCAGACAGAGAATATGGGCAGCATGTTCCAGTAGGGCCTGGCCTCCTTTCTCCTCTCCACCATGTTAACAATAACGATGACTGTTAATTTCCAGCCTTCACCACCACTGGCGCAGTTCTTAGCACTTTCCACACATTCTCTCAGTTAATCATCACAACAAACTGTGAGCGTGTCCACAATGACTGTTATTTTATGGAAACTGGGGCACAGAGAGAGTGGCTTGCCCATGGTCACACAGAAAGAAGTGCAAAGGACAGCATTTGAATCTAGAGTCTGTCTTCTACATCACTGTACCTTAAACTTGGGTTTACCCTGATGGTTTTAATGGTAACGCTTGTTTTCTGTGAAAATCCAATCACCAGTGCCAGTGGTATCCACTGTAACAAATGGAGATATTTGGGAGGTCTGAGAGTGTGTGAACATGATTGTATTTCTGAGATAGAGGGGTGCTGTATGAGAGACAGTATAGTGGAGAAAGAACTCACTAGTATGGTTGAGCCCTCATACTGGTTTGCCAATAGTCTGGACAAGGAATCCATCCACCTCTTTTAAAGAAACAAGAGGGTGTTGTTGAGGATGCTGAGGTGACATCAAGGGCTTGTCTGTAATAACCATGCAATGGGATGGTAGAAGCCACACATTGGGACCACCCTTTGCTTCACTTTCACTCACCTTCCTCAGAGACTGATCAAACAGCTGTTCTGCCGACTTCCCTTCTTCATTTGCTCTGACTGTGTAGCTTAACAGGCTGGGATCAGTGTTTGTCTCTTCTGTCCGACTTCGCACCCTGTTGACTAGCACCCAGGTCCTGAGGTCGGAGTGGCAGAACTTATTGAGTTCTAGTCCAAATTTCCTGACGAATTCACGGGAGAGCCTGCAGGAGGAGACAGAGACTGCTGGGGCAGGACAGGAAATTTTCAACCTTCTCGCCCTGGGCTTACTTCCCAAGTCTGGAGAGCAGGCAGTCACAAAGAGGGCCACCACTGTCCCATGAGGAGTCATTGGGGATATCAGACCTACCTTTCTGCATCCATGCACAGACAGGAACCTGAGGTCTCTAGGTTATTGTGCTAATGGTGGTGGGGCCAGGAGGGACCCTGGACTTGAGATACCTTGGTTGTTCTCTGATTACCCATACTAGATTTACACCCCTGTGTGAGTCCCATTTAATCACCCATACGACATTATGCCTGCAATCTCTGGCTTTCAGGCTATCCCTACTCTAGGGTGTGAAGGTGGTGTGAAGAGTACCTAGGGAGAATTATCCTGGGTGTATCCTCTCTGAGGCCACATCAACAGTTCTGTGCCTCCAGATGGGGTCTCTCTGATACCCCTGCTGTGGGTTCCCCTTTCAGGAAATCTCTCCATCAGAAGAGGCTCCATGCCAGCTGTGGGAACCCTAAGTCTACCACAATCACGCCTGAGATTCCAGACAGCACACCTTTCTCACATAAAAGTATTTCATTATTCCTGTCATTAGCAACCATTTCAATGATTCCTCAGAAAGCAGACCACTTTGTGTGTGTGTACAAACTAGTTTAATTATATTTGCAGACAAATCTTAACTCGGGGATTGCTGGCCCCAAAGGAATGTACATTTAAAGTTCTTATTTTGATTGTTGTTGTTGTTAAGTGCTTTTGAGTCGGTTCCGACCCATAGCGACCCTGTACAGGGTTTCCGAGGGTGTAAATCCTTATTTTGATATAAAGTGCCAATTTACCTTCTAGAAAGATTCATTGTCCAGGTGTTCCTTCTACTAATTTTTATTGAATACCTATTTTGTGCTGGAGTCATTGGTGGATCCGTGGAAGAATGTTCCTGTTCTATGAGGAGACCCAGGTTTGATTCACAGCCAATATATGTCCTGCACAGCCACCACTCCTCTGTCAGCAGAGGCTAAATAGACCACTTTTGACCTTTCAATGTGCTTTCTCACTCCAATTTATCTTTTGTGATCCTCAAAGTAGCCTTCTAGACAGGTGGGATAGATACAATTGTGCCCATTATGCTTATTAAAATGCGAGGCTAGAAATATTTAGGAATAGGTGTGGAGCCACAGAATGAGTTAGGGCTGATCCAGAACAAGATGTAGGGTCTTTACCCCTGGGTTAACACCCTAGTGACTATGAAAGGATTTTGCCCCTCCTGGGCTGACTGTCCTCCACCTCCCACTTCCTCACCCATCCTCATGTCCCCCAACCCTTACCTGTGAGTGGCAGGGATTCTCATGGCGCCGAGTTCCACATACCAATCTGCTCCAGGCACTCTGTGTGTCTCTATTCTGCCACCTATACGCCCTGAGGCCTCCAGGACAGTTACCTAAAATATGGCCAGTTTCTGGATTCAACAAAGCTGACAATGCCCCCTCTATATTCTCTTCTTCCCTCCCTGGAGATCTAGTTCCCATTGCCCTTCCCATAGTCTCCCTTTGACTTTGAGGTTTAGAACCTAGTTGTCAAATCACCAAATCTCCTAGCCCTTCTATCCCTGTTCAAATTCCCATTACTAATCCCTGCCCCAGCTCTCTGAGATCCTTGCTTGGGGTCACAGTGTACCTGGTGGCCTGCATCTTGAAGCATCTTGGCAGCAGTGAGCCCAGCCATGCCTGCCCCAATCACCACTACTCGCTTCCTTTCCACAGTCTGTCCCAGTCCATCTCTCGCCAGTTGCAACAGTTCTTCATACTGGGGGTCCTCAAAACACTTGGCGAGCTGGCTGTAGAAGGCCTGGGTGCCTGGGCTTAGTACGGACAGAAGTGCGAGGACCAACCATCCTGGGCACATGGCTACGGAGATGGCAGTTGGCAAATGACTGTGGAATCAAGGAAGCCCAGGCTGGTCTTAACACATGTTCAGTTGTGTCACCGGGCAATGATGCAATATCCTGCACTCTCAATCACCTTCCTTCCATGCCCTTCTGAAGTTAAGGTTCTTTCCTTTCTTGGTTATTAGCCCCGTTCCCTGGGGTAACTGCATATCTGTCCAATTCTTACTCATGGTTAAGTCCATTTCTTGGGGGTTGAGGGAGTAGGAGGGCAGAAGGAGCACTGGAACACTTAACTTTTAGAGAGGTGGGGTGTTGTGGGTAGATGAAGACCAGGAAATATTGAGGAGGTAAGAGGAGAGGGCAGAGTTTGACAGGACTTTTATGATTTGCTATGATGGAAATGACAAATTGAAAAGGATGACATCACATTCATTATCAAAAAGAATATTTTAAGGTTAGGCTGAAGCTGAAGATAATTAAATCAAGAATCAAAATAAAATCTTGAACATATCACACCTGAATTTAGAGACCATCTCAAGAATAGACTTGACATAGTATATACTAATGACAGAAGACGAAATGAGTTGTGGGATGACATCATCAAAGACATCATATATGAAGAAAGCAAAAGTTCATTGAAAAGATAGAAAAGAAATAAAAGACCAAAATGGATGTCAGACAAGACTCTAAAATCTGGTCATTAACAAAGAGTAGCTAAAATCAAAGGAAGGAACAATGAAATAAAAGAGCTGAACAGAAGATTTCAAAGGGCAGTTTGAGAAGACAATGTAAAATATTATAATAAAATGTGCAAAGACCTGGAGTTAGAAAGATTGTGTTCAATATTTCTCAAGCTGAAAGAACTGAAAAAATAATGAAGTTGCAGTGTTCAAGGATTATACAGGCACAATATTGAATGATGCAGGAAACATCAAAAGAAGATGGAAGGAATACACCAATTACTGTACCAAAAAGCATTGGTAGACATTCAATGGTTTCAGGAGGTTGAATATGAACAAGAACTAGCGGTATTGAAGGAAAAAGTCTAAGCTGTACTGAAGGCAATGGCCAAAAATGAGGTTATGTCACCATAATATACATCAACAGAATACCAACTGAAATGTTTTAACAATTGGATGCAATGCTTGGTGAGTTCACTCATGTATGCCTAGAAATTTGAAAGACAGTTACCTGGCCAACCTACTGGAAGAGTTCAAAATTTGTGCCCATTACAAAAATTAATGATCTAATAGAATGAGGAAACTATCAAGCAATATATAATTAATATCACATGAAAAGTTTTGCTGAAGATAATTCAAGAACGATTGCAGTAGTATATCGAAAAGGAACTGCCAGAAATTTAAGCTAGAGTCAGAAGAGGATATGGAATGAGGAATAAAATTGCTGATGTCAGATGGATTATGATTGAAAGCAGAGAGTATTATAAAGATATTTATTTGTGTTTTGTTTGTTATGTAAAGGTATTTGACTATGTGGATCATAACAAATTATGGATAATATTGAGAAAAAGGGAATTCCATATTACTTAATTGTGCTCATGCAGAACTTGTATATAGATCAAGAGGCAGTCCTTCCAACAGAACAAGGGGCATGGTTTAAAATAAGGAAATGTGTGCATCAAGATTATATCCTTTCACCATACTTATTCAATTTGTATACTGAACAAATATCCAAAGAACTAGACTATGTGAAGAAGACCGTCAGCACTGGCAAACCTTGCTTGATGAAAGTTAAGAGGACTTGAAGCACTTACTATTGAACACCAAAGAGTATAGCCTTTAGTATGCATTACTCCAACACAATGAAATTCTTAAAACTTGCACCAATAAGTAAGGTGGAGGATTTAAATTTTTAAAACATTTTATTGTGAATTGAGTGAAGGTTTACAGACAAGATCATCAGCTTTACATTCAACAAGTCATACACTTTGCTTCTTCTCAAAGATTACAATCCACTCCATGCAACAACAGTTATTCCACTTCCTGCATGTGATTCCTATTTGCATTCCATGCACTTTCCTACCTCTTGTCACCTTTGTCCTTAGGAAAATGTTACCCTTTTGATTGACCATTTTCTGGTGAGTACACTCCACTAGTGTCCCCCACTATAAGCCTATGTACTGCTTGGCTGAAAATTGGGCCATGAGGGTAAGTTCCTTTCCATATCTGAAGGGTAGTCGAGGGCCATAGTCTCAAGTTCCCCAAGTCTCTTTCTAAGCAGTAAGCCAGGTATTTTTTTTAAGTTACATAATGTTGAGTTTTCTTCCACATTTTCTCCCGCTCTATCCAGGATCCTCTAGAGTGCTGGATAGGATCCAGGATCCTTTAGGATCCCTTTTAGAGCAGTTGGTAGAGGTAGCCGGGCACCATTTAATTCTGGTCACAGGGTTGTGGAGACTGATGTTCACATGTTCCATTAGTCCATTGGACTAATTGATTCCAAGCACTTTCAATTCTTATCACTCTTCTTTCTTCCATGCATGTAGAGACCAATAGCTTCACAGTAGACAGCAGCTCATGAGCTTTTAAGATCCCAGACACTACGCATCTTAGCAGGATGTAGAACATTGTCTTTGTAGACTATGTTATGCCAATTGGCTATGTTTCCCCTGGGACTATGGTATTGAGCCCACATGTCCATAAACTCATTACCTTAAGATGTTTGATTATATCTTGGAAGTTTTCATCATTTTGACCTCTGTATGCTCCATCACATTCATTCATAGTTATGTTTTCAGAAAAAGTACATACTCTTATGATGAATACCCTCTTTCAAACTCTTATATATTTGTGGGATATATAAACATATATAGATCCCACTCTTTTTCCGTTAACAATTCATCATTGCTCTCTATCTATGTTATCTAGGCACAGAACACTGTTGTTTCAAGATTGTGTATACATCACTATTTAACTTGGTCCCCTTTAGCCCATGCATACTTCCCTGTGTCATCAACTATCTTCATAATTCTTCTGCTACCCTTCCTCTACTTGTATATTGCCCCTCCATCACCCAATCTAACACGTGTCTACCCTTAAGGCAGTGAATTACTCTGTCCTCCCTACCACCCCTGGTAACCATTAAAGAATGTTTCTTCTAGTATGAAAACCTTTTTGTAAGCTTTTACAATAATGGTTTCATACAATATGTGTCCTTTTGTGACTGACTAATTTCACTCAGCAAAATGTCCTCAAGGTTCATCCATGTTATGAGGTGTTTCACAGATCCATCATTATTCTTCAACATTGCATAGTATTCCATTGTATGTTGTAACAAAGATTGCTTATCCATGCTTCCATTGATGGGCACTTAAGCTGTCTATACATTTTTGCTATTGTGAATAGTGCTGCGATGAACATTGGTGTGCACATATCTAATTGTGTCCTGGCTCATGTTTCTTGTGGATATATACCAAGTAGAGGGATTGCTGGGCCATAAAGTATTTCTGTTTCAAACTTTCTGAGGAAAAGCCAGACCATTTTCCAGAGTGGTTGAACTATTTTACAGTCCCACCAACAATGTAGGAGTGTCTCAGTTTCTTCACATCCTCTGTGGCATTTGTTGTTTTCTATTTTTTTTAAACTTCACTGTTAATGCTGATGTGAGATGATATCTCGTTTTTGTTTTGATTTGCATCTCTCTAATGGCTAAGGATTTAAACATTTCTTTGCTAGCTGTCTGAATATCTTCATTGGTGAAGTGTCTGTTCATGTCCTCTGCCCATGCTTTTTTAAATTGGGTTGTTTGTATTTTTCTTGTAGAGGTGTTGTAGTTTTCTATGAATTTTAGATATTAGTCCCTTGTCTGATATGTCATTGTAAGCTTTTTTTCCCAGTCTGTGGTCTACCTTTTATCAAAAAATTTTTGAGGTGCATACGTTTCTAATATTTAGCAGGTCCCAGTCATTTAGTTTGTCTTCTACTGTTTGTGGGTTTTTGTAATGTCTGAAAGGTTTGTATGCTATGTGATTATTAAAGTGCCCAATTTTGTCTCTACTTTTCCTTTGAGATCTTTATAGTTCTAGATATTACATTTAGGTTTTTAATACATATTGAGTTTGTTTTTGTATGAGATGTGAGATATGAGTCTTGTTTCATTCTTCTGCAAATTGACTTCCTGTTTTGCAAGCACCATTTGTTGACGAGACTACCTCTTTCTCATTTAATGTGTTTTTGGCCTTTGCCAAATATCCCCTGATTGTACGTGGATAGATTTACTTCTGGGTTCTAAATTCTGTTCCATTGATCTATGCATCTTTTGTTGTACCAGTACATAGCTGTTTTGACCACTGTGATTGTGTAGTAAAATTTGAAATCAGGAAGTAAGAGGCCTCCCACTTTGTTCTTCTTAAGCAGTGCTTTGCTTATCCTAGGTCTCTTTCCTTTCTATATAACATTTGTGATCATTTTTTTCATCTCTTTAAAGAATGATGTTGGGATCTAGATTGGGATTGTATTATATCTATAGATTGCTTTTGGTAGTATTGACATTTTTTCATTGTTAAATCTTCCTATCCATGAGATTGGTATATTCTTCCATTTTTTTGTAAATCTCTTTTGATTACTTGTAGTTTTTTTGTTGTTGTTGTAGTTTTCTTTGTCTAGGTCTTTTGCTTCTCTGGTTAAATTTATCCCTAAATATTTTATCTTTTGGGTGACTATTTCAGAGCTGTGTATTTCTTTCTTTAATTCTATTAGAGTTGGATTTATGTATTTTGATAGTTTCTGGTTCCATATTTTCAGTTTTGTACATTTGCTTTACTCTGGATACCTCTATATCTGGATTTAATTCTGGGTTTCAGTGCCTCCTATGTCAATATTTGGTTGTTGTCTGCTGTTATTGGTTCTCAGCCCAAATGACTCCCTTTAGTATTTTTTGTAAACTTGGCTTGATTTTTACAAACTCGTTTAATTTCTGTTTACTTTGAAAGTTTCTAATTTCATCTTCATATTTGATGGATAGCTTTGCTGTGTATATGATTTTGGTTAGCATTTTT